GCGGCTTCTTGTCACCGGCAGTGCCCGGGGCCAAACAGAACCCACCACAGCCCGTTGCTGCACAAGCTCTGGGATTTAGCTGGGAAGCAACTCAGATATCAGCTACTTGCCAAAAATGAAATCAAATATCATGGAAGCCATGCACAGTTTAACAGCTACAAGCTGAGCACCTCTCCTGTAAGGACAGGCTGGGAGAGTTGGGGGGTTCAGCCTGGAGAAGAGAAGGCTCCAGGGAGACCTTAGAGCACCTTCCAGTGCCTGAAGGGGCTCCAGGAAAGCTGGGGAGGGACTTGGGACAAGGGCAAGGAGGGAGAGGACAAGGGGGAATGGATTCATACTGGAAGAGGGGAGATTGAGGTTGGACATTAGGAGGAAATTATTCGCTGTGAGGGTGGTGAGAGCCTGGCCCAGGTTGCCCAGGGAAGCTGTGGCTGCCCCATCCCTGGAAGTGTTGAAGGGCAGGTTGGATGGGGCTTGGAGCAGCCTGGGCTGGTAGGAGGTGTCCCTGCCCATGCAGGGGGGCTGGAACTAGATAATCTTGAAGGTCCCTTCCAACTCAAACCATTATGATTCTGTGATCAAGTACAAGCAGCTGTTCAGTGCTGGAGCTGCAGGACAGACCCCATAGTTGGCCAGTCCACTAGTGTGACCAGTCTGAGAGTCTTTACAGGAAAGTCAGTAAATAAACCATCCTGAGGACACCCCCAGTTCCTCAGATGCAGCAGCCAACCACTGAGGCAGTTTCACAGTGCCCTTTATTACAGCCTTGGTTTCCAGGAGGATTCTGAAATGAAGTCACTAATGTAGGAATCACAACATTAGTCTCAAGAATGAGCTGAAAACAGGAGCACCAGCCAGGAACTCTGTTACTTCCAAACCTAGTCCTAATTTCACTGAACGGTTCCAAGATGTGAACTGAATCCTCTGTTTCTGGAGAATAAAGTAAAACTGAACAGGGAGACCTCTTCCCTCAGCTATGAAAATGGACCCTTGTACAGCACCTCCAATCAGCTGTTCTGGTCTTTTGTCTCCTGGGATTTTGTGCTGTGGCCCAAACCACATTTTAGCATCTTTTGCATTAAACTCAGCCTGCAAAACCCCACTGGATGCCAGCTGTGAAGAGAAACGGGAGGATCAGGACAGTCAGGTCAGGGTGGTTCTGTCAGAGCAGAACCTGCTCTTCGCTTTGTTCCTCTGATGCTCAGTCCTGGGCTTGTGCTCAGCTGCACATCACCTCCTCTTTTCTCCTGCCATGGGTGAGGTGCCCGAGGCAGCAGTTACTCCAACAGTTAGGATCCTGAAAACAGGAGGGATTCCGAGCACAGCTTAGGATGCAGGAGCCTCTGCCCAAACACATGACACACTCACCCCTGCCTGCACAATTAGCCAGCCTCTAATCACTGGCTGTGGGCAGCACAAAGGCTTGTTGATGCATCACATCTGATTAACAAACCAGTAACTGCTGCTCCCAAA